GCAAAATAGATAAAAATCATTAGATTCCGACATGGAACTGAAATGCCAATAGTCTAAACCTAGTACATCACACCACAATGTGTTGTTTGTCACTCAGATGAATGTCTAACAATTGTTTGAAAGCAGTAATGTTCGGAGCGTTTACTGCATGCGTTGGCAAGTCATTCCATTGTGAACAGATTCTAAGAGAGTAAAAATATTTTCTACAGTCTAATCGAGAGTGTTGGATTATCAGCTTGAGGTTATGACCTCTCGATCGCTTATATGAGGCTAGGGTGAGCAGCGATTTGCACGGGTGATCGCTTTCCCTTAATATCCGGTATGCGAGAATGAGATCTCCGCGTAGTCGTCGCTATTCGGAGGAAAACATTCCGATTAAACTGGGACGCACTTCATAATGGAGACTAGATAATCCGCGTGTTGTCTTGGTAGCTCTTCGTTGGGGCTGCTCTAAGAGATGAATGTCCCGTTTTAACCATGGGCACCAAGCCTGGACGGCATATTCGACGTGGGGACGGATATAGGAGTTGACAAGCATGGGTACCAACCGTCGTTGAAAAACACCAAAAGCTCGCCTCAAAAGTCTCAGGTTCATGTTCGACACGTTCGCTGCTTTGGAACATTGGAGCGAATTCCCCAGACTTTCTTGCACAATGATACCTAAGTCTTTTTCTGTGGTCACGCGCCGTAAAACGTACTGCCCCAAGAGGTGCGTGTTGGCAAGATTGCTGCGCAATGACAGTAGGTGACACTTGGCAGGATTCAGGGGGAGGTGATTTATATCTGCCCATTTGTTGATTCTATCCAAATCATTCTGGAGGAGGGCACAGTCTGATGTTGAGCGAATAACTCTCCAGATTTTTGCGTCATCTGCAAAAATTTGCATCGTCGATTGAATATTATCCGGGAGGTCGTTAATGTAGACCAGAAAAAGGAGGGGACCAAGGACGGATCCTTGAGGAACACCGCTGGAGATGCAGAGGGTTTCCGAGAGGGCATCGGCGACTCTGACCATGATCGTTCTGTCATGCAAATATGCTGCTAGCCAGGTGAGTAGGGAACCATGGCTACCGTAGGCATGGATACCGTAGGATGTACGGACACAACAGCATGTGCTGCAGCCAGACGGACATTGGGGTGGTTGGATTATAAAAACATATTGAAATTATGTTCCACACAGAGATTTAAAGGAAGGCCCACGTTCGGACCACCGTAGCGTCTTTGCATGTCGGGATGGATGTCTTTCAAAGTACGCAAGCGTTGTGCGAATGGATTACGGCGCACTAACTCAATTTACATTGTTATTCATTTCGAAGTTAACTACATATAAGCAGGTCATTGGGACCGCATCGGAGGCATGTGAAAGTTGGATGTTTTCCACTAGCAACTCTGCACTCCACGATCGGTTTCGTAGTTGTTTGTGCCCATCAGGTGCAGATAGCAGGACTGCGATGCGAACCCAGAACGCTGAAATTTTACCCAAGGCCTCCCCACTCATAGGTCGGTAAATCTTGGTAGACAACGCTTGTTACACCCATTTATATCAAAGCGGTGTCATTTTGATGCACCCGATGTGGGGTAGCATCGCACTCCTGCTTCTTCCACTAGACGAGTGGAAACGAGTACGAAACCGGGCATGGAGTGCAATGTGGCAAGTTGACAACGCCTAACATTCATCCGTTTCCGAGCTGGTCACGTTTACCGATTTGACTGAGATCCATCTTCCAGTGAATCGTCGTCCAGATTGAGATTAGGTGTCGCAATCCATTCACAGAATCAGTGTTTCACAATGACCCCATGAGATGCTTTGTTTGCATACTGTCGCATGGATTGTCACTGCGTGCCAATACTCGCCTTCCTATCATTGCCGGCGACCACCTACGTTGGTAAATACTAGACAATACTGAGTTGGATGATAGTCACTACTGATTACTAGCAGTACCGGTAGCATCCTAACGATGCGAGCCTTGAGAATGATGTTGATGAAAACGATGGTGAAGATGTTGATAATGCTGACGGTGGGGACGACGGTAGAGATGTTCATTTGACAAATTTTCCTCCTGGTATGGTGCACGCCAATCCTAGTATCTACAAGCTATCTACTCACTCCGTTACAATGGAATATGATCCTTCTGGACACAGCATACAGCATCCTAATGATTGTGGTATGTATGTGTTGACATCCTCAAAACCTGGCAATTGATTTCTGACAGTTTAAGCATGGCGTACTTTAACTCTGTCGACACATTACTCCCGCAGGCGTCCCCAAAGAGGAGAGCCGCGCAACAAATCTCAGAATACACTAGCCCCTGATTGGAAGCATCGCGGCATCAAAATATGTAGGCGTCACCGAGGAAACTTGGAGGAGAAAGCCCATTGTATGTTAGAAGTCAGCTCAGATGCATGATTGAGGATATCCCTACCTATATGTACCTCGTTAACCACTTGCCAGCAATGTATTCGCTGAACTACCACAAGACATACTGTGTCGTTGTACGCTCACTGTGCAATGCTGAGCAATAAATCAGAACTTAGCGTTTACCAACAGGATGGCACAAGCGACGGAAGCTTGGTAAAGTAATCAATATCCTGTTTTCATGGTAATCTCACTAGCAATTTAGGTACCACTTTGTAACCGCTCGAGGTGGGCACTAAAGGTAGATCGAGCATGCATTAACTTTGAGCGAGCTGATCACGCAAACACCCGTAGCCGAGCAGGTGAGCGTGCCGGTTGCATCTATCTTCCCATGACGTCGAGCCCCAAGAGACAAAGACCTCAAGGATAGTAATTATCGACCTCTTGCCTATCAATTATGACAGCATAGTGGCTCCCACGGGATATGCTTCGGTGTGGGCCGTTTTTGAACAATACAAAAAGATATAGTGGTTGGTATCCGGCCTAATTTCAGTGTATCGTCTCCGTGCAGATCTTTCGAAACAGACTTTTGAGATAGCGTGCACGGAGGAAGCCCGATAGACCTGTACGTTCCAACCCGTCTAAGACGAATAGAAAGGATTTCACACTTCACTGGGATTTTGAGAGCACAGGTGCGATCGAGCACTGAGTATTGATCGTGCTTCCACGGGCCAAATAGTTTTGAGCTCAATGGAATGTCAGCTTGCGTTTATTTTATCGGCACCTAAGCATAGACAGTGCTGCTATGGTGGTGTACTACGGTCACCCGATTAACCTGATATTAGTTGCTCGGTAAACGGCTCAAAAATCGGGCCTGCAGATTCAGTGGAAAATTATTTGATTCTCTGTGAATTCTTCGCTATACTCAACGTTTGAATGGATTACGGATGACCGCATACCTAGAAGTGAACCTTTCACTTTCGGTACTTAGTCCGTGTGAAGCAAAATGGTTGCAGTAGCTCTTCAGACTTTTTCACCGGTGTTCACTACGGATTTCGAGGGTTTGCGGTGGCGAACTCCTTTACTGAGAAATTTGCGCGTTTCGGGTTCGCTTCGCACATCAGTCATCTCCAACGGAAGAGTACAAAAGAGCGTGAAACCTATGACGGAGCGGATGGTTGGGAGCACATCGCAGATACAGCTTTAGTGGCCCAAGTTACTGAGGTTCGCCTCATAAGTAATAATGGTCTAACTCGAAGTCGCGTGTCGAAACCAACGCGCGAAATGGATGCTTCAAATAAAAGGTGACTAGAGTTGATCCCGCTCATCGGTGGCCTAGTGATGATGCTTGCGGACAATTTCCATTCCCGAATGCTCGTCCCAGCTCCGATTGTCGATATCTGGACAACGCAAGTAAGCTAAAAGCATTGAACAGTTGTGTTCTGATACGGCTGTTGTCAAGTGAATCAAATGGAATGGTATCGCGAATCATGAGAACCATTGTGAATGGCCATGGGATGAAGAGGTAAGAAGATGCAAGAGACATCGACTACTTGACACCTGAATGGATTACAGGATACACAGGTGGCGCTTATGTTACGGCGCATGTACCGTGGGGTGTATTTTACTAAATCAAGTACCATAGACAAAGGTCCAAAAATAACCTAAATGCTAATATTCTATGCTTACCGGTTTTGTTCGCATCGTTACTCATTGATATATATGGCGTTGATGAAATGCGAAGGGTATTTTTTACAGTGCAGCTTCTAATTTTGCAGGCTGTAATCATGTACCGCCAGAGTGTGCGCCTCCGAATTGGTCAATGAAGAGCCAACCAAGGTCGATGCGATGACTTAACACAAACCCGCCAAAAAGCGTACAAGTGAATGCTAAGTTATCCATTAATAGTCCTCTGATGTGTTGAGCGTGTGCGATCATCTGAAGCTTAGTAGATTTTTTATTTTTCACCAACGTTAACTCACAATGAAGAAGCCGATTAGGGGGCATCTGCCTCATGCATGTCTATCATGCTCGGTAGAATAGTTGTGCCGCCTATGGCTCTCCGGTTGCCGCTGAACAATAACGCTTAATTTCCATTGTGCAGTTACCGGTTTGTTCTTTTTTTAGTCTCATTAAACAACAACCAGCATCGATTGTTACAAGAATCCCACATGGAAACGGGCTTTCGGCAAGGGGAAGAGGAGCCTACTCCAGCGCTTTCTATATCAGTTTGTTACATCTGACCCGCTGAAATCCTCACTTTCGAGGCGTAGATTCAGTGGAGAGCGCTTTTTATGTTAACATCAAAATACTCGCCCCTATTGCCGGTACAAAATGAACGCGCACTGCGAATAATGCACGTGGGCACAACTATTCAGAGCTCAGCGCAATCGTTGCTCCTCCGAGCGTTCAGGAAAGCACCAAACGTCTATCGTTCCTCAACGTGCGGATTAACTCGCTGGTTTACGCACAGGGTTTGAAGTAAATGGGTGGCTTAGATGAAATCCAAATATGTTTGCCCGTTTTTCTTCCAGTTAGATCATTTTCCCGCCTAGTTTGCAAGCATGCTTTTGATGTAATCGTAATGAATAGCAACTCGGGTTGAGTTTACTGTACGAAGTATCCATTTTCTCTTGTTCCACAGCGCGATTTCCGATGCACACACAAACCTCCATATATCCCTCCATTTCCACCCCTTCCAACTCGTATAACGATGCGCCTCACGGAAATACACGCCTAGAGTATCCCCATTTGGGGCTGACTTCACAACACCATCCATCGTACGCTGATCGACTGTACGCAACTGCAGGCTTTCGCAAAGATGTCCAATCAGCTGCGCAATACTGCAGCTCGCTTCCCTCCGATTCAGTTCAAGCGGAGCCCGAACTGGCACCGAATGATCTGGCGCTGCCGGTTGACTTATTCAGCACGAAGACATCAGCACACTCGTCACGGTCAACGCCGTCAACCGATGATGCTCCCTCTTTGCAGACCCACATGCTATCCTCCTTGGAATTGCAAAACAACAGCAGCCTTCAATCAGGTAGCAGCCTCGTTCATCGTGGTTCTGTGGATTCCGAAGACAGCAAGACAGTGTTCCACGGTCCCACTGATGATCGCGGTAAGAACGCTATGAGTCCGCTACACAATCCCAAGGTAGTCAGCTCATCGACAACTTCATCGGACAAGCAGTCAGGAATGTACTACGAGTTGAAGGTACGCCGAGGGTAAACGAGGCATTAACAGTTCAACCAAAACCGATGTTTACTTGATTTGGGCAGTCAAAAGAATAGCTCCGTTGTGATTGTAGAGGCATGGTACATCCACCGCAATGCTCAGTTATTTTCCTGGTTTTGACATTAAAGGTTTAAATACTTAGCTAATCAAATCATTCCTCATGTGTACAATAAGTGAGCCATCCACCAAAAATTCGAAATTACACTGGACAGAAAAGCAGAAATATAAACGGTTTTTATGTTAGGAGACGAAATTCCTCGACTGTCTTTCTTGTGGCAGATAACATTTTCTGTTTCTGGGCCTCATATTAGCTTGGGCAAGAGGGGCATAGTAAAATAACCAAAAGTCTAAACTTTAACTCACTAACATAGACGACAATGGCTGCCGCAGTCAAGATGAATATCCATCCAATGCTCAACGACCTACATCCTCACTTGACAGTATCAACGCCTCCTTCGCAAACATATGGTCAATGTCGACGATGGACGCCATTCAACACTACTGCAGACGACGGACTGCCTGTTGACCTGTTGGAGTGAAATGGAATTCCTCACAAACAGAACCAGCTGTACAGCCAACAACAAAGTGTTAAGATTCATTCGCCTTTCAGGAACCATAGGCAGGACTGAACCCTTTGGCCCGATATAAGTAGTGGGATTACTATCCGACTTTTGAGGATAGATGTAGGTCCCTCTAAATCACGCTGCCTACAGGCATTAGCTTAGTAGATATTCATGTACCAAACGTTGTATTGCTGGGCTTAGTTGTGATGGCTTCCATGTAAATAACTCATGTAACAAATATGCCCTTTCAAACTAGACAAATCCCTGTGATCAGAGTGAAATCAGTCTTTTATGTCGACATACCGCTGTTTGCTAATCGTTCAACATGCCGAAAGATACAGACCCAACCTACTCGACTGGATACCCAAACGGAAAATTGCGTCAGTTTTCCATTGGTATCCTCTCTTGTTCGACCATTGTGGTTTTTAGCATACGATAGGAGTACCTTGCATGCAACCGCTTATCTTTTTAGAAAATAGATATCTGTCCAGTTTTTTTCAACGTACCGTTAGTTAATGAAAGTCAAATGTATTGTTCACTCAACAATCACCTACGGATTGATTCACAGGTCGTCGGTGTCTCAGATTCCTTGGGCACTGCTCCTCACGGTTATTAGAAAGTCATCGTCCTCAAACTAGGTTTTAGACTTGAGTACAGGATAAGCTTTCGCATGTGGACGTGAACAATTGAGTGAAAACCGCTTTACACAGTATACCAACTAGCGCAACGTTAGTCACACAGATTAGCATTATTTCAATAGTCCCTATTTTTAACCGCTTCATTGATACTGTTCTCGTTTGCTCGTATTCCGTGCATTGCATAGACAATTTAACGATGCCTGCTTTCATCACTATCCTATTGCGTTGGCTCCCGTAGCCCATAATATCTCCTTTGCAGTGCGCCCCACAGGTGATGAGCGGTGGCACGAGAAACCCTTGCGCCAGCTTCAATGGATTTTGGATTCCAGACAACTACCACTCGATTTCGACGCATGTGGCCTTAACTCAAATTAACACACACAAAAAGTCCTACGGGCTCGGACAGAGTCAAGTACATGACACATTTCGAACAGATAGTGACGACAAGGAGAAGCTAGTGCTCAAATCGGAGGAGCCTAATGTTGTACTAAGGGCCGATGGGCGGGAGATGCACGAACTAAAGCTGCATGTTCCACCGAGCTGTCATGACTACGCGGCATCGTTCAAGCCATTCCATCTTCCCCATGAAAGTCCCTGGGGGCAGCGAGGCACGGCGAATACTGCTGCTGATCGTATCAGCACGAGTCCCTGCATCACGGATTGTGAAAATCATAGCCCCAGTTTGGATACGAAATGTGTCCACGCCGCCGGAACAGGAGAGCAGTCTACACATTACGAACAAACCCAACCCACCTACCGGCTTGCACTGTCGCTGACGGCTAACCTTTTTCCCACCACAGCGTGTGAAAACGATACTACCACTTGCCAGCAAATAGATCCCCAAGCTTGGAATCCCGGTGGGTATATGGACCTCTTTCCCACTCACAATTCCTACGGTCCTCTGGAACTGAGTACCACAAGTGGATATATGACATCACCAACGAGCTGTTCGTCCAAATCCGTGGTTGATTACTCTATATCACAAGGACCGTGTCGCATACACAGCAGCCAACTGAATACTGAGTTGGGTATAAAACCCCATAAATTATCAACCGAACCCCTATCTGTGGACACACAAATCCCACATTATTATTCAGTACGAGATGTGAACCAAAGGAAAAGCCTCTCGAATCCGGGCGACTACGGTTATTTAAATGCCCCCGTGGATTCCCCTTTTTATGGCTATGATTACCCGTCAATGGTGTCTCCAGCCTATAGGACGGATCACGTGACGAAGTCATTTACAACCTTGGGGTCCCCATTGGGTACTGCAGCAGCGCAATATCGGCCTCACGAGATGGAACCTTATGGAGGAGGTGAGCACATATCCTTCCACAACCCACTTTCGATCACTTCATCCATTCGATCGATGACCCGGACTTTCAACCCCAGTCCATTCCCACACTCGGTTCTGGGAAGCGCCAGCGGAATTCCTGCATCCCAAACTATGGAGTATACATTTTCCAGTGAAGCTGATGACCGGAGCTCCTCAAATGACAGAGTTGCTGCATTGATGGCAGCCGCCGCAGCAGTGGCTCGTAATGCACCACAATCCATGCCGTTTGCCGGCGCTTCGACTCGCCGAACCATGGGTAATCAGTTCTGTCGCCAAACTGCACCGTACGGAATCATCGGACATCCGAACAATCTGCTGCTCGCTGCAGCAGCTACCAATGCACACGACTCAGCTAACATAAACGGTAAGTCAGTGTCATTTCGCTGTTAATGCTTTGATCTTTGCGAACACTACTAAGTTATACCTATGCTAACTAATCAGTTTTGAAATACGTAATCAGGCAACTTCAGTTGACTGAATATTTATTAGTAGCTCATATCGACAACCTCATGTCCTAGACAATCATACTTATTCCTCTCACTATGTTGGAGTGTACATGATCATGAACATGAGCTGCGTAACATTACACCTACTTATTTTCTCAGACATAATTTTAACAACTGCTACAGGAAGATCACTGCTTCCTCTGAGTAACAGGCTGATTGGTTACAGGCATGCCCAATCAAACATCCGCCAGACATACTGGAAAGCGTCTCATTTGGGTTGATCAACAGCCTTAAGTCCCATCAAACCGTGGGAGGCTTGAATTCATAACTAAACTCGACATGCCACTCAAACGAGGGGAAGTGGGAACGGACCAGCTTGACGTACTCAGTAGGCCCGATAAAGCGTGGTCCGTTAGCTATCACCAAGAATTTACTGTGACGATAAACGTTGAAATTGGGTCTCCACCAAACAGTTCAAGAGGTCATAGACCAAATCAGTTAGTTGACAGATTGAGGAAAAAGTAGTCCTCTCAGAATTGGCATGTTGTATGTAACTTCATAATGGAGCTGATTTTGGGGTGCGTGATTCGTCAGACTGATTTGACTCATCAACACTAACTGCGTATAACCACATGTAAACAAGAACACAAAACCCTATCCCTAACATGACGTTAGGGGTTCCCGCCACCTTATTCTCCTGATGCCATTGTGTGCAGGCGAAACGTCACTTTACGGTGTGAGATGGTAATTTCTGCTTTTCGAAACCAGGCACATGGGACTAGTGTGTCGGCCGATTTCCGCAACATTTCGTCTGCACCCGATATTGCTGCAGGAGGAGAATGTTTAACTAGTTTTGCATGAACTACTGGCTGCGTTGCTCATGGTACACCTGTAAAGAGAAAGAACTAATAGTTCAATTGACAGGGTGTTAAATCAGGCACCATACCTTTTCCATTTTGTTAACGTTTCATACTGAAATCACTTCTCGGTAAAACCAATTCTGACCACTAACAGAGGAATGAATCCACCAACGGCCCTTGGTGTCTTAAGGTTGAGATTTTGAATGTCTCATTAAAAGCGTCGCAAACCTCCTGGTCTTTATGGTATTACTTGCTAGGAGGCACACAGCTGCAGCATCGCTCGGTCACCGAGATCTTGTTCAGCCACAGTTGCTTTCGGCTAAATGCCACCCGGTATCTGGCCGAATTCACGTCTGCTTGCATGAGCCAGAGATAATGTGTTGCGATCCGGCTCAATGGTTTTCTGTCGGAAGTTGTACGCCTTCAGTTTGAAGAGTAGTTAGCACTTTACTGACCCATAAGCTCTAGCTGGATCACAAACTGGGAGAGGCTTTATTTGACCCAGAGAAGAGGATGACGAGCAGTGTGTCATGTGAAGTTAGAGGTTGTCCCCTTCATAACATCCAGAGAATCCACACTTGGAAGTAGGTAAACTCATCAAAATTGTCCTCGTGTAGAGGGACGTCCTACATCCGGCCTCCAGGGAATCAGCCACAGTGCGCACTGTCTGTTCTCTGTGAGATTGGAACCCACGATCTTACTCCTAAGTAGGCCAGTGGTCCCCACCCGTTTTCTAGTCACGACCCCATTTGACCGAATGATTTCAAGGGCCTCATGGAAAGCTTAAGTTAATGTATGTGACCCGCGAGTCGCAAAATGCCCGCCCCTGAATTAGAATGACACGACAACAGTAATATAAGCAAAACCGAGCAGACCTTGTCGAAACTACTGTATTGACACTGTAAAGGTCAGGATAAATGAATGGAGCTTAAAGAAGGGCATCTTAGATTTGGTTGCATTCAGCTGCTTCACATACAGCCTGTGCCAATTGTGAAATTGGCAGCGTTATTGGAATAGCATTAAAAATGCCCAATTAGGGTCAGAAGGAACATAACGACATGCTTAATGCGAAGACTCGCATCGTAGCTCCCGAACAAGCTTCAAGATTCGTATTAGCGTTGTCTTTAATGCTAACCTGTCATGCTCAACATTTAATCTAGCGCGTGATTTTGTGGTTAAATGCAGAGGAGTTGAAAACTAACTTTTACTTTGATATGTATTATTATAATAATAATAATCAATAAGGTATATTTGTCATGGTACGGAGAAACCGAGCCCACAAAGGGACAGATAATAGTTCCATTGCAACCTGTTCAGGCGTGCGAGGCTGTCAACTGTTTGGGTTTCTACAGTTACCACAGAGAAGTTGTTATGAATATTTTCATTTCGGACTTTTGTCGCCGTATACTACCAGTTATAAGATTAAGAAAAAATAAAAAACTATATTCTCTGTGACACACGAGGCACGCTAACAAAGGCATTCTCATTTGGTTGTTTTCGGTGCAGCTTGGTGGTGCCATGATGGCGGCGGTTCGATGGGGTGGGGGGAGTATGAAAAGGATGAAACTGTCAGATTCACCAATCAAAATCAGAGGAGTACTAGACAATCTTACTTAATAGACTGGAGTAATACAGTTGGAACTACTTGTGAGTAACAAACTAGTGAGTTGCAAAAATAAAGAAACGACTATATTAAGGTAACGCCAGTGGATAATCAAACCCAAGTTGCTTTATCAGAATAATATAGGCTGTATTCACATTGTAGGGTGTTACGGCATGGCGTGGTGTCTAGACATTACTGGTCTAATTATGGAGTTGAACTATTCAAGTTGTGTTTTGGGCTACCACATGATTGAGATGCTGGGTGAGCTCAGTTGCATTTCTTTCAGCCTTCACTTGTAGGTGGATATTTAGAGCATGCGTGACTATGCAGGTAATGTTGAAAAGGAAGAATTAAACAGATAAGTAGACAAAGAAATAAACACCTTTTCACTGTAGTCAGGACTTATGCAGGGGATTGTAGTCTTGTAGATGATGCCAGACAGCGTGAATAGGAAAGTGCGCAATAGTTATCCGATTCTTGGTGTAGAGACATAGTTGTGGTGTGTTTCCACACACCACAACTAATATCAAGGAATAAGTTACTGGGAAATATCGGTAAGACAGTAAGACGGTAGAGGTGTTATAACTAGGAACCAGGAGTACAACAGCTTCAGTGCAGAATGAAACAGGATAAGAAAAAGCAAGCGAAGTAATACGGTCATTCCTGGAACCGGGGACCTGCTTCCATGCAGGGTAGTCCCTCGAGAGGTTACACCCATACCTCCATGCCCATGTAGTCATGGATCGGTGTGGTTTAAAAGCACGATGACAACTAGCGATTTTACTCACCATTTGGACGATTGTATTTTTCTGGTGAGCTAGTTACTCAAACCAGTCAGCCCTTTCGTCATTCATAGTTTTTGCGTGCTTGACGACCGGGAGTATCTGTTGGCCTCATATGCCAATAAATGTGAGTTCAGCAGTTCCGATGGGACTATTTTGTAATTTCAGCACACTTTTTATATTCACCAATGGGTCATTTGCGTGGGTATACATGTTGCTTAGAAGCTTCGAACCACCATCTCAGGAGATCGGCCCACTCGTGACCAACAGACTAACAGGAGAATAAGATGAAATAGTTAAATTAGGGAGTAGAAATATCAACGAAATAAGTAGCCAGATAGCATGTCTCGCGATATTGTGGGATGTCATACGATTGGGTGCGATAAAATATTGCAAAGGTAGCGCTAGTAATGAGTTGGCTTCTTTTTCAATATGCACTAGCTGATGCGAATTATCCGGATGCCATGTGACAGTAGAATATTTACATTCTACGAAGGAAAGCAAGGGAGATACACTTTTTGTTTCTCCACCTACAAGTGGGACTTCAAGGGTGGATTTTCGAGCATAAAGTTTAGGTATTCTGGAGTGTGGTGAACCTGCATTATTGCTCATATATTGTTTGGAACTGCAGAACGTAACACACCTGCAGACACTTGAAGACCGAATATTCTCATTATGTTCTGCATGGTGAGTAATGCTCCCAAGTTCATTGGCAATTTGTTAGGTTCTCAATTGTCCGTACTTTCAATGATAGCTTGTTCCATATGTGGGTATACCTTACCAGGAAGTAGTAGAAACAAATGAGAGCACAACTCGAACTGAAAGCATGGTGACATGTGGATATGAATTTGCTGTTTCAGTCTGTGACCCCATTTGGGGTTTCGACCCGTGAGTTTAGAACCATTGTACAAAGAAACTGGTCAAATTCAAGATCACGGAGAACGCGACAACCACCGACATGACTAAGTATCCAGATTTGGTGCTGCGTGGACAATATTCTAGCGGCTTTTCTGTTATTACAGTAGAGAGGGCTTGGTAAGACTTCGGTTAACGGGCTCTCAAACCCGAGTAACTGTAACTGTAACATTAGAAACAGTATGGATGCAGTACCGTTACAAAAGAATAGTACGTAGTTTCGGACAGCATAACTTGAGTTCATGACTGAACTGACGGACGGACATCACACGCCTGAACCATTGGATGGAAGAAACTCCTTACAGTGCATTTTTTAGGCTCGTGAGGACCATTTGACAATAAATTAATAAGTGATTTATTTATGGACGGTGCGAAAGCTGCTTTCACATAGGGGCAGGTCGTGAAGTTGTAGTGGGTTAAATTTGTGCTATCTAGTTCCCTTTATTGTGCTTTGCTAGTTGTAGGCGATTTGGACGACGATACAGTTTGACTGGGTTCCATCCCTGTCCAATGGTTGGTGGCATCCTGTTCCAGATTTATCTGCCACTGTGGCCAGCCGCAGGACGCCTGCGCCTACAGGGGGACCATGGGTGGCTTACGCTGCACCACCCACAGCTCCAACCACACACCCCATATCCAGTGTAAACCCGAAGGAATAAGACCGGGCAGCATGTGGATGGGAGCCACGTTTCATCAACGGAGCCGGCCCACACTCCTTTACAGACAAACCCAAGCACGCTGTATTTGGGGAATCAACC